CTCCCAATCCTCTTCTGGATCATCTAAATGCTCTCTAGCAAACTTCAGACGGGCCTGGACATGTACTGGCTTAAGCAGAGGGACACGTCTGGCACTGCAGGATTTGAGTCCCTGGCGGCGTAGTGTGTTACTGATGGTAGCCTTTGTTACTTTGGTCCCAGCTCTCTGCAGGTCATTGACTAGGTCCCCCCGTGTGGTTCTGGGATTTTTGCTCACCGTTCTTGTGGCATCCCACGGGGTGAGATCTTGCGTGGAGCCCCAGATCGAGGGAGATTATCAGTGGTCTTGTATGTCTTACATTTTCTAATAATTGCTCCCAGTTGATTTCTTCACACCAAGCTGCTTACCTATTGCAGATTCAGTCTTACCAGCCTGGTGCAGGTCTACAATTTTGTTTCTGGTGTCCTTTGACAGCTCTTTGGTCTTGGCCATAGTGGAGTTTGGAGTGTGACTGTTTGAGGTTGTGGACAGGTGTCTTTTATACTGATAACGAGTTCAAACAGGTGCCATTAATACAGTTAACAAGTGGAGGACAGAGGAGGCTCTTAAAGAAGAAGTTACAGGTCTGTGAGAGCCAGAAATCTTGTTTGTTTGTAGGTGACCAAATACTTATTTTCCACCATAATTTGCAAATAAATTATTTTAAAATCAGACAATGTGATTTTCTGGATTTTTTTTTCTCATTTTGTCTCTCATAGTTGAGGTATACCTAGGATGAAAATTACAGGCCTCTCATCTTTTTAAGTGGGAGAACTTGCACAATTGGTGGCTGACTAAATACTTTTTTGCCCCACTGTAATAGTGCATTAAGGAGGATAGTGCAAATTCACATTGTGATCACAACTCAAAATGATGGCAGTGATAGGATGATATTAATACTTACACAAAATCAGGTGACAGTTTAAGAGGCATCAGAGTGCATTGAAAAAGAGCAGCAAGTGCAAGTGTAATCTACCTAAAAGGCTAAAGTAACACAATATTAACTGTAGCCCTGAATAATCTATGTTTGACTGTCTGTGTACCTGCAGGAAATGAATGTGATCCTCAGTGAGTGACAGCTGTTTGAGGTCATCCTGTCCCTTTCTCAGCTCGGAGATGTCCTTCTCCAGACGGTCCACGAGCGCCTCGGCTCGACTCACCACAGCCTTCTGCTGAACTCTTATCAGATCTTTAGTGGCACAGCGCCTCTCATCCGCCATCCGGACCATTTCAGCGTAGGCTTTCTCATTTTGATCAACCGCTGCATCTCCTGAACACTGGTAGCAGAGCGAAACCAAATACAAATAATGTCAGGTATTTTGAAGTATAATATGGAAAAAAGGGCTAGAGTATTTTTAGTTGTGTGCTTACTTTATAGAAATGTTTCCAACAATATTCAAACCAAGCAAATACATTTATTCTTTAAATCAAGATAACAGCATGTTTCATATCCCCTTTAAGCATGTATTGTGAAACTACTTTATTAGTTTATTTTGGAGAGGAGTCCTGGTAAAAAAAAAACTCCTCACTGAAGAACAATAAAGGAATCCGATCCAGGAGATGATGACCGCAATGATGATGAAGACTACAACTCCCATGACTCCGTGCCACATTATAAGGCCACCAAACTCTTTCTTTTGTTTTTTACTTTTAATACAAAATACAAAATAACTCACCTGAAGTGCTTTAATTTTTTGTTTTAGCTGCTGCAGCTGCTTCTCTTTCTTCTGTATTCCTTTCAGATATGTTAGTTTTTTCTTTCCAAATTCTTTCTGAAAACAAAATATACTTTACAATATTACTTTGAAATGTAGAATATGCAATCGTGTGGCCAATATAATTATTCTTACTTGTTTGTCTTTCCTCTCTGCTGCAGCGGAGACAGTGTCATGACCTTTGTGTTCATCCATCACACACAGTAGGCAAATGCATTGCCCGTCACTGCGACAGTAGACTTCCAGCAGCTTGTCATGCTTGGAGCAAATCTTCTCTTGCATGGAAGAAGTGATTTCCACCAGCGTGTGCCTTTTGAAAGCCTCAGACACATAGTGGGGCTCCAAGTGAGTAGCACAGTAAGAAGCCAGACACACCAGGCAGGACTTGACAGCTTTCAGCTTCCTCACAGTGCAGAAATCACACTCCATATCCCCCGGGCCCACTTCATCCTTCACAGCAGGCCGGGTGGGTGGTTCAGGCCCTGAAACTTTCTCTGCCAGATCAGCCAGCACTGTGTTTTTGTTCAGCACAGGTCTGCGCCTGAAAGTGCGTCTGCACTGGGGACAGCTGTAAACCCCGCGGTGGTTCTCTTGGTCCCAGTATCCGTTCACGCAGTCCATACAGTAGCTGTGGCCACAGTGAAGAGTCACAGGGATTTTCAATCTGTCGAAGCATATCGAGCAGGATAACGAATCTGGCTCCGAACAGCACTCTTCCATCTTTATTACAACTCCGTTCACTTTCGTTTTCTCGGAAATCAGATGGGTGTTGCGTGGGAGTGAGTGAGTTGTGTAACTTTTGCAATCATAAAATAAACTTTTTTTTACTTTAAATCAGTTTAACTGATTGTGAAATGGGGATTTTTGATTCCTAGATTAGATTTATTAAAAAATATTAATAATTAAATCGAGGGGATAGGTCTACCCCTGAAATGAACACCTGTGTGGTCGGGATCTCACCAGATTGAAAACCCATGAGCATCACTGTCTTGACTTAGTTTTACACTAGTTGTTGCTTAAAGTGGGTTGTCAAATTTTAACACTATATTTAAAAAAATAATGACCAAGTGAACGTACCTCTAATAGGGGTGCAAGCAGGGGCGCCGTAAGGGGGTGAAAGGTTAGGACGATTCTAAGGGCCCATGACTAGCAGGGGGCCCCAAAATGTTTAGAACATTAAGGAAAAAAATGTAAGTACCCTTTCATCAATAATTAACATTAATATAACGTTATATTGCGTAGTAGGCTTCTCACTAAACTTACGATTCATTTAACTTATTTTCTTCCAAAAGTTAATTATCCAAAGCCTCTGTACACCCCCCTCTATTTACATGTAATGGTTTGGTCCTAAGACTCCTGCCTCCAAACGCAGCACTTTTCTAGCAGAGTGAAAGCATGTGAGGAGGGATGCGGTGGGTGTGGTCCATGAGTGGTGGAATTTAGTCTGTTAGCTAAGCGTAGTCGATTGTAAATTGTAATGTTTTTTTTTACTAAGCTGACATTAAGTAGGCTACTGTTAATATCTTCACAGAAAATTCAGAGGTTTTTCATTTCACTGCTCTTTTAGCTGACATTAAATGCAGGTACATGTTTATCAGCTATTCATACTAAATCAGTTGTCCCTCCCCCTGGTGCCAGGACCAACAGATCCATCTTCAGGCTCAGCAGCCC